CTCAGTGAAGAAATGTGATCTAAAAAGATCACAAGAATCTATTAATTGTTTTATCTCTTAGCTGTGATTGACTGATTAGATTTAATATTCATATTAAAATTCATATATCCTTTCACAAAATTCAACACAGAGACGTCCAGGAAGAAAATCTGTTTACCGTTTATCATTGTATTTTTTTATCATTGCTTTTTCGTTTGGCTTTGTTTTGTTTTCCACTGAGAGTTAAATAAATGTGGGCTATAAATAGATGAGAAAAAATGTTTATATTTGCTAGTGTGGCATTTCTGCTCTCTCTCCTGAGAAGGAGGTGGGTTTGTGGATGTATGAAAAAAATAGGCATTACCATGGCCTTGAAATAAATTGGAACAGAATTTTCTTCTTATCACCAAGGTTCCAAAGACCATGTCTGCTAAATTGCACAGCATTAAATATGTTGAGATATTTTGCTTACCGGAGGCAGTGCCAAAAAACTGAATTTATATATTCTCAAGGGAGAGCATTCAACTTACCTAATTGAGTCAAATTAAAATTATTTAATATGATAACACACTAAATAATTGAAAGCAAAATAGGAAAGAAAATGACCTGCAGGCCTCAGATATAAGGGTCTCAATTGCTTTTTGATGTGTAACAAATTGTGAGAGCAATGCTTATGAACAATAATTTGTTACCCTTTAAAAAACGTCAGTGTTTCTTTTCCAATCATTGTTGCTGTTGCTGTTTCTGTCTTGTAGAATGGAGACCTTATTGTAGGAGGACCTGGGAGTTTTTACTGGCAAGGTATGTTCTGTTAGCAGAGAAGAAAAGCATATCTGTTGTTACAAACAAAAAGACAAAGCAGAAGTAATGTCGGATGTTGACTTTCTAGTACGTTAATTTTATGTCCCTACATAGTTTCTCAAATGAAGCAGCTTTTTTTCCTCTTACTATTTTTAATTGACACAATAATTGTACATACTTATGGGACACTTGGTATTTTGGGACATGTATACAATGTGCAATGATTAAATCAGGGTAATTAGCATATCCATCACCTCAACCATTTATCATTTGTGAAGGGAACATTCAAAATCTGCTCTTCTAGCTATTTGAAAATATGCAATAAATTGTTAACTATAGTCACCCTATAATGCTACAGAACACGAGAACTTACTCCTCCATCTAGCTGTACTTTTGCATCCACTATCCAACCTCTGACCATGTTCCTTGTCCTATACCATTCCCCACCTCTAGCAACCACCGTTCTATTCTCTACAACTTTTCTAGCTTCCGCATATAAGTGAAAACAGAAGCATCATTTCAACTTGTACTTTGTTATATAAATAATATTTTAAAAATACTCTTGCAACTTAACAATTCATTTATCCACCGAGAATTTATCGAGGCTCTGCAGGCTTTGTGCTAGATGCTGAGGATGCGATAATGGGTAAAAACAGACATATTCTCACCGTCACGGAGGTTAATATCTGGGGAATGATAACGGCATTAATTGAATATTCACACGAGTACCTGAGAAACTCTAAGCGTAATAGACACTCTGAAGGAAAGGCATGTCGTGATGGGGCCATGAGAGCTGAGGAGGCTTCTCCAGGGTGGTTGCACACAGGTGTGTTTTATCCTCTGCCCATTGGCTGACAGGGAGCTGGGATACAACCTGTGCTCTGCTTAAGGCGCTATGAACCCAGGTGCAGGACAGCATCTACCCAGAGCGGATGACTTCTTCTATTTCTTATAAAGGTGCTGCATAGGTCAGTAGCAGCCCAAAGGTCAACTAATTTAGAAGCAAGTAACCCTGAACTGAGATCTGGACCTTGAGTAGGAGTTACCTAGGTGAAGAGAGGAGGGATTATGTGCAAATGTTTTATGGCATGTGGAGTGCAGAGTGGGTGAGAATGGAGCAAAGTCAGGGTGACCAGAGTTAAGAGAGCTAGGGAAGAGTGGTGGTGTGGAGTAGGCCCACCCACCATGCAGGACTTGCAGGCCACGGGAAGCAGTTTTGTCTTTGTCCTACAAACAATGGAAAAACCACTGGTAGATTTTAAGAGTTTCATCGGATGGCTTTAGCTAGAGTTAAGAAGATGTCATTTGCCCTGAGAATAGTGAGAAACCACTGGAGCATTTTAAGGATGAGATGCTATAATCAAATTTGTGTTTTGAAAAGATCACTCTAGCTACAATACAGAAAATAGATT